TTGCCAACCACTCCTACACTAACCCACATATCAATCAAAAGCCTGATCAAAGATTAGAGGCTCTCTGTAAGATATGAATCAGATTTGCCATGAAAACATTCCATTTATATGTGAAGGTTCTGTCCATCAATGGGGTAATCTTTTATTCATTGTTTCTTTGCTTCAGTGGCCTCTTACATGTCGATCTCTGACTATTTAATCAGAGGGATACAGTAAGGTAGCGGTTGGACTTACATCTATGTGACACTGTCATAAAGTAAGTTAAGTCAAGTATTTATTTCTAGTCAATTTAAGTACAACTGGACTGTTATTATCTAACATATAATATTTTCATTATCGATTCATCTGCTGGCTATTATCTTGATAAACCATTTAGTCTATGAAATGTCTACAAATAGTTGAAAAAAAATGCCCATCACTATTTCTCAGACCCCAAAACGATGTGTTTGGTTGTTTTGTCCAACCAACAGTCCAAAACCCAAAGACAGCAAACAGTAAATCCTCGCACTGGAGAAACAAGAACAAGAGATTTTTTCTTGAAAATGACAAACAATAAATCAGTTATAATAGTGTATTTATAGCGTTATTATAGTGTATGTTAGCCAGTCCTCTCAAAGCACTGATGTGTATGGGTCAAGCAAAGTACAGAAGTTTGAAGTTTTTCTCATTACATAGCAAACCTATTGGTTACTTGGATTTAAAAGTGAAGTCATGGAATAGTACAAATGTGCTTGAGGGTCTAAATTATTGGCAACTTGCGAGTCAAGAGGAAAGAGAGGGTGAGTTCTTGACTTCTTACTTTTTTTTAACTTGCCAGTTCCTTCCTTGCAAATCCTGTCTGCTCTGTGTCTTTAACCCACAGGGAACATGTCTCTACCTTATCGAGCATACGACAAGGACAACAAAGCACACCTTTCTTGAGTGTTTTTAAACAATAATTCAAGACACATCAGATAACAGAATGAAACTGGATTTAAATTACACTAACAACCAAAACAATACTGCAATACTACTTGTTGAGATTTGAAAGAAAACTCTTTCAATCCATCCCCTTTCATGAGTGTGCCACAGAAAAAAAGCTTGACTCACAAAAGCAAGGCTCCTTGTGTTAAGTGGTGTGGAGTGATTTTTGTGAGCCAACTGAAAGTCTGTCTAATGAGGGCTAATTATGTTGTGATTTAATTGATGTGTCAGTCAAGGCTTAGAATTAAGACTACAGACACTCCTCTGCTTTTATCTCTCCCTTTGAACACACATACAAACAAACAAACAAACAAACACACAATGTATAGTATAATAAACATAATGTCAAATTTGCAAAGAAGAATGGATACTTAGCTGCAATAAAACCTTAAAGTCTTCTGTAAAAAAGCAACAAATTTGCCATACCCCTCCACAAACTGTCTCCTCAAATAATTATACACTGAAAGCAGAAAACCCAGTTTTCTTTGCTTTATCCCGACTAGTTGCTAAGCACAATGGGCCATTTTTGGAGTGTATGCATGCGTGTGGTTTTCTTTGTACTTATATGTGGCCATGTACATAAATGTGTTGTTGTTTATGCCTGTGTGTGTGGGATAAAGCCCCAGTGACCATGTAATATGATTGCAGTGCAGCTTGCTGTGCCTCAGAGGTGTGTTGCATAGTTACTGAGGCCGGGGAAAGACCACTGGGGTTTCTGTCTAATGCAGTTTTAACACCTGAATATAGCTGCCCAGACATACCTTTGATAGAAGACTCTGAACCCCTTATATATGACTTTGAGCACTGCAGGTCTTTGGGTGTGTTTGTTCGTGTGTATGTGGAGGAGATAGGGTGGAGAAAGATGAAAGAAAGGCAGTGAGCAACATTGTGGGTATGTGAGAGCAAAAGGAAGAGCAAAATATTTCATAGTTTGTATACAGATTGGGCCCAACACCTGGCGCATGTATAGGTGTTGGCTAACCAGGGCAATTTGTGAAAATGACCTTTCTGCAATGAACAGCACATAAAGGGCTGCAGGTAAGAAAGTGACCACAGCAGATCAGAGAGGTTACCCTGCTCTCTGCTAGTACAAGCACACGCATTCATCACCATCCTTCCCACAGGGCTGTATGTGTGTCTTTGCTACATAGGGCAGTCTTTTTGGTGTGTTTCTAAAAGTCCCTAAAGGACTACACTCCACTGTGGTTATATACTGCATTTTTAACCCATTAACTACAAATTTAGTTTGATATAAATTAGTTCCATTTTCCAAAGATTACCAAACTATTTTAGTTAAACTTAACCGCCTTCAAGACAGCCTTTGTTTGTTTTTTTACTTTTTCTTCCCTCAACTTATTTTTTCAAAGTCTCATTGTTGTTACATGGTCATAACATTGAGACGTCTGTGTCTTTGCTGGCAATCTTCTGACATCTGAGTCTGCTGTGGAAAAGTACTCCATCCACAAGCTATTAACATGGAATGAAATTCAGAAGACATACTTTATGCAAACATGGAAATTCTGAAATTTACCAAGTTAATTTGGTAATTTTTTTTACATTATAAAGAATTTTATTATTATTTTTCCTTTTTGTAGGTGCATGGCCATGCCAGTGTGATGTAACTGTCAGGGTTATGCTGAGTGCAGACAGGAATAGGGCCTAAATGCACAGGCAGGATGAGTTCTGATACTTTATTTAACGAAAAGCATACTCACTAAAACAGTGGCAGAGTCCAGATAAATCCAAAGGAAATTAATTGTCCAAACAAAGCAAATATCCAAAAAACAGGTGACAAAACTAAAATCCAAACTACGCTGACTGAGGTGAGACAGTATCCACTGACTAAGGAGTACTAACAGCAGGTAGGGCGAGAGGCAGACACACTCAATGTGGAAGACACACAAGGCATGAAGCGGCACATGACAAAGCACAAGACAGCACACGAAAAACGCAATATCGATCCAGCAGACTGAACAGGCATTATATACACAAGGCTAACGAGGAGGGAGGGAACAACAAGGTGAGACAAATCAGGAATATCAAGAAGACAGGACACAAGCTGGATAACAAACACAGACAACTGACTAAACTTCAAACTAAAACAGGAAACAGGTAAACCGGCAGAGATGCTCACAAGTCTTTGAGCTAGAGTCCAAGTCAAGTCTCAAGTCTTTGAGCTAGAGTCCAAGTCAAGTCTCAAGTCTTTGAGCAAGAGTCCAAGTCAAGTCTCAAGTCTCTCGTGGTTATTACGAATGTTGTATCACCTGCTGCGTTCAATCCAGGTTACTAATAAAACTTCATAGCTATAAGGAATACTGTTAACCTGTTTTTCATTTACAGAGCACAACCATGTAATGTGCAATGCAATTAATGACAGCTAATTAAATACTGTAAGTCAATAAAACGGTGACATTACATAATCAACAATAAATCTGTCTGTTTTTAACTTACAGAGCACAACCATGTAGCATAATGTACAATGTGTCTACAATTAATAACAGCTTATAAACTACTGTAAGTCAACAAACCCCGTTGAGTTTCAAACCTAGTGTAAAGTTAACTAAATAATACTGTAAAGTTACATGGTCAACAATACAGCCGTAACCTGTTTTTAACTTACAGAGCACAGCCATGTAATGTGCAATGCAGTTAAGGACAGCTTATAAACTACTATAAGTCAACACATCCCCCAGACTTTGAAAACAATAAACTGTAACCTGTTTTTAACTTACAGAGCACAACCATAATGTGCAATGCAATCAATGACAGCTTAAACTACTGTCAACACACCCTGCAGACTCTCAAACCAGTGTAATGTTAGGCTATAACTAAATAAAACTGTAACGTTGCATGATCAACAATAAACCTGTAACCTCTTTCCTGCCAATGGCAATAATTAACATGATGGCAGCCAGCGGGACGTAAATGATTACGTTAACCAACCACCACAAGTTTGGCAAGTAAACAAACGTTCATACATCTTTTCATAACGAACGACAGTCGGAGTTAACCTCTTGTAGGTCGTAGCTGAAGCAAGAAGCAAGCTAACGTTAGATGGCCAATGCTGAGCTAAACATGTTCACTCACCACATATTTGCGTTCAGCGCTTCTTTGTTTGGGTCGTGTTGCATGAAGTTTTAAAGCCAAAGTTTATGATGAATGGCTCAGCAGCTGCCGGTGTTTGTTGTCCTCTCTCACGTGCGGCCGCGCGCAGCAGATGTTACTTAGGCAGGTTATAGGTAACGGAGGGAGGGAATAACGGCAAGCTCATCAGACGTGTTCTAAAAAATAAACATTGTTCACGAGCCCCACGTCTCGAGTCCGAGTCGAGTCTGAAGTAACTGTGTGTGCGACTTAAGTTGCACTCGATTCCGAGTCTCTAACTCGAGTCCCCATCTTAGTAAACCGGAAACCAGAAACAAACACAAGACAAACACCAGAACCAACTGTATCAAAACCCAGAGAGGACAGACATGCACAAGGACAAAACAGACCGACGTGCAGACCAAAACCAAAACAAACATGCGACAAACACCCGATACAGACCATTTCAAAATAAAACAGGAAAACAGACTAAACAGACATACATTATTTTTTAGACTGCTTTTATGACTATCTTAAAGTCATAATCCTTAAGATTTTAGTTCTGGTTGATTTGGCCACCCCTGTGCTTACTGGTGAATACTTCAGTCAGTTTTCTGTTCAAAAGTATAGTCATTGATCGCTTGAGACAAGAAATGTGCCCTGAGCAGCTACTTGGTCAGAAATTCAATTGAAGATGACAAGAAACTTATGTATTTCCCTAGTTCATTTTGGAGACTTCTTTATATCTGTACTTGTACCAATGCAAATATGTTTCCTCTTTAAATTGTCTACAGGACCACCTCCTGCTTTTCCATAATATCAAGTATATACAGCTTTGCACAGGATTGGTATAATTGCATTGTTAATAAATGTATATATATTTATATTTATCTATATAACTACATATGTTTCTCTCCCCTGTGTGTGTGTGTGTGTGTGTGTGTGTGTTGCAGCTGCTGTCAGACAGCCAGATCAACATGGTTAAGGTAGTGAACTCAGTGAGTGATGCTCTTAACGCCATGCAGAAGGAGAACGTGGGCCTGAAGGCTCGTGTCAAGGCCGACTTGCAGAGGGCACCAGTCAGAGGGGCCCGTTTCAAGGGCTGCTCCAATGGTAAGAGAAACGAGGAATTGACTGACTATCTGTCTGTCTGGCAAGATTGGATTCTTTCTTTGTACATTTGTCTGTTGGATATTTGGTTTTTGTCCCTCTCTGTATATATAATTCACACATCACTGGCTACCTATATGTTTGACCTTTTGCCACGATATTGTGCTCAGTGTCGTGATCCCATTCTGTTTTAACCCCACTCCATCTGTCTGTAAAATTATATTCCAGTGTGGTCTGTCTGTCATCCATCTTACCACATATTCATTCAACCCAACTTCGCCTGGTGATATCACTATGTTTCCCTGCATCTCAACCACATTATCCAGTGGCCTTGGTTGAGATGTGGAATGTTTTATTGTAAATGAGAAATGACTTGAATGTCTACTAGGCTGTGTTGCTGAGAGGCAGAAAAGGGCCCGAGGCATCATCCCATTGGAAGGCTTTTAACAAGGCACAGTATGCCCAATGGCATTCCCCTGTTGGATTTACCTTACACTGGTAGCCAGGGAGCACAGAGTGAAGGCTGTTAATGTATGGCATACAGCATTCAATAAAAAAGTAGTAGAGAGCGTTTACGGTTTTCTGTGAACGACACGACTTGAGAATGTGGCATAGACATGTAGTAGGAGCATAGAAAGAGTAGAGGTACAACTGAGGTATATTTTCAAGCTTTGCTTTAAGAAACTTTAAGGAAATAATTTTTTAGTAATTTGTTGCATCAACCCTTAAAATCACAGAGAAAGTTTTTTGTTTCACCTGAGTTTTAGTTTACTATTGGAAAAGTTGCTGTGTAGGGAGAAGGCGAAGCAGTGCCGTTTCTCTGTGGGATGCGCTGAGGCATGCTCGGATGCATTCGCTCCCACTGAGAATTTTGGTAAGGTCATGTGTTTCTTGTGTGGAGCTTCCTTGAGCTGGGCGCTCTCGGGCATTGTCTGTCCCGGGTGGCGACTTCGGCTGGAGTCAGCTGTCTCCACTCCTCTCGCTGACAGCGGGCCACAGGATGGTGAGGTTTTCTTTACAACCACTTGGATTGGTTGTGATGGCAACGCGTGCCTAAGTGGCCATCCATTTTTTTACTCCATTTTCCCATGATAATGAGATAATTATCTTGTGATCTCGAGATAACTAAACAGTACTTTAACACAGTGGTTTGATGGTAATTTCAGTACGAATATCAGTGTCACTGGTTAGCTTAGTTTGTAGAGCATAGGACTATACTCTTGGAGTTGTGGGTTGGATCCTCACGGAAGGCAAACTTTTTAATCTTTTTTGTAATCCCCTTCAGCAAAGTTCTTATGAAGAGACTGTTTCACATGCTTACAATAAAGCATGTGCTAGATTGTGTGCATCTTGGCGATTGGTCCACATTCATCAACCTATGGACTTTCCCCATCATTCCCAGGCAGAGGAAATTCCTGTGCTTCTCATTCAGGGGAATCCATTTAATGTTACATATTTCCTGACAGCTATTTCGGAACCCCTGTATTCAGCTATCACAAGAAAATGATCCCGTTATCATGGGAAAATGGAGTAAAAAAACTATTTTAATGGATGACTGCTTATGACTTCCGTGGGTATCAATAAGACACAGGTGCAGCAGCAGACTGGAGCAGCTTCTTTAGGTTGAAAGCAGCAGCTTTGGAGTGTTAATGGGGTTTCTTTCTCTGAGAATTTGGTGGAAATCCAGCGTTATTTGTGGCTTGGGATTCTGTTAAGCATTTACCTCTACAGGGGGGCAGAGGTGGACCAGTGAGCACCAGGCCAAAACAAGAGATCAAGAGAGATGACAAGATGCTGCCACTTGTTTTGTAGTCTTCTGGAAAAGGGCAGTGGTATGTAGTGTCATGGAGTGAAAATTTTACTCCTCCCATTTTATACACTTTCCTATTGTAACCCTTGTTCTAAAATTTATAATAATAATAATTAAGAAAGTTGATTATTATGATGATAAATTTGTAATAAGTAGTGTTATATCTGGCATCATGTACAGCATATATATAGTATACAACTGTAGAGGCAATGATCTGGAGCCTGGACCACGAAGCAAGTTCAACATACCCAGAAAATCTTTTCGTTATCTGGCTTCACAAAACCTAACAATTGCGATCAGGATAAGCAGTCACACGAAACTGGTTAACGTTACATTTACTGATTTTAGCCGACGTGAGACATCGGCGTTAGCTCACCTAACGCTTTTCAGTAACTAACATTACTATTTGTGTATCTTTCACCAGAGGCTCAGCAATATTTTTAGTGAGCTAGACTGAATTTGAGATTATATGAGATTGTTGCCACACTTTATAACAGACTGTAGTAAGTAAAGTTACTGTAGTGAATGGTTCTTCCACTGTGTTGTTGTCCTGCACCATTATGTTGCATTATTGTATATTATATGGTTCATGTAAGTTACAGCAACTGTAAGGTGGAGAAGCTGTGTACCTGAGCATCAGTAAAACGTCAATAAACCTAAATTGAATTTTACGAAGCAAACAGTGGAAGATCTGTGCTAAAGTAGCTAGCTGCTCCTGCCTTGTATCACTATAGGCTAATATAAACAAATCGCCCATAATTTGCCTTGTAGCTTTACATCATTTCTTGCAGGCTAAATCAACACTTTGACATAATACCGGTGGTACACAGGATAGTATTGTTGATAAAAAAATAAGTGATTTCACTGAAAAACTACATATAGCCCCTTTAACTTTTATTACAGCTACAATTAAAGTCAGAGAGAGTTTGAGAGTGTGTCTGTTGGCAAGAAACACTTTTTACATTATTTATCAAACAATCAAAAAAACATTATCAATATTTTCTTTCAGTCACATGAGGCTCATAATTCTTGAGCCTCTGAAACATTTAGCCTAATAAAGCAAAAGACATCATGATGATATTCTGGGTTATTCAATAATGAATTAACAATAAGAAAATCCTTAAATACTAATATGCAGATAAAGAATAATGAATATAAACACATTCTGCCTGTAGAAATGCCTCTGAACATGGCACCGTACACAGTATAAATACAGAGTGCAGGTGTTTGTAAAACAGGTAACAGAAAACATGCTGCTCTGGCAGTGATAACTGTCTGCCTTTATTAGTATTAGCACAGTGCACATGTGTGCAGACACAAACTCCATCAAAAGTCTCTACAGCTGTTAAAGCCAACTGATCTAGCTGCAATCAGCTGTCATCACAAATGGATGTCGTTTCACATGACGCTTCAGAGACAAGGACTTCTGATAAAAAACACATTTCTTCGTTTCTTCTCTCCTCGCAAGTGAGGGGAAAACACAATACAATACTGGAGGCATGGCTGTGGCCATGACACATAGCTCGATACGTTGAAGCGCTGTCCATGGTAAATGTTTGCACATTTGTTAAACACAGTTTTATTCCTAACATCACCTTCCAGAATTTTCTTGCCTTAAACAGATCTGAAGCAATCTGTAAACAGCTACTTGAAACATACCAGAATTCTGGGTTGCAATGAATTATAAATCAATTGATTGAGAAAGTATCCCTTAGATCTTAGCAGAGTTATTATCTCACAGTAGATATTATAGCCCAATTGTGGAATAATTTCTTCAAGCTTTATTTAAATTTTTTGTCTCCTGGCTCTATATTCATGGTTCATTGTATGGGGAGAGCTCAGTAACAAGAACACCTAACAATATGATGCAATGAGATGTGAAGTGACATTACTGTTCTGAAGAAAATTATTTATTGCAGGGCTATATTATACATGCCTTTGTTTTATTGTGTTTATAGGGAAAATGTGTCCAGTGTCCATAATAAGGAATAATTATGTTTGAGCTCTATGTATTTTGAAAATCTATTCCTGTACAACATGGTGAACTCAGCATCCAGTACATTAGCCCTGTTGCTAGAGTATGGCTCATAGGGTGTTGCTGTTCTCATTAATTCATACTGAGCCCCGTGAAAACAGGTGTCCTATTCAGTCAGCTGTCTGTCAGGGATTACAGCTCATTATTAATATTTTTCCTAAATTACCAGTTTTTCCGTTTGCAGCAACTTTATATGGAAAAGACTACTAAACAAAAATCTACAGTCAAATAAAAAAAGCTTTTATCAGTTAGCTTTACTCTTAAAGTTTAAAACAAATAAAAATGCACCTCAATTAATGCAATGAAATTTTTTTTCGTCTTTTGGGGGATATGTGGCTACTGATGTATGCAGACATTTTCATTAGCCACTGTACAAAACGTGGATCCACTTCATGCTGAAAGCTTGAATTTACCATTCCTTGTGATATTGATGTGAGAGAATATGGGAGAATAAATATACCATTGTTCACTTTATTTATCATTTAATGTGAGCATTCTAGAGAATCACCTACATCTGTGTGTCTGCAAGAGAGGACAACAACGGAATTTAATTTGAAACCAAATTCAGATTTTGTCTTAATGTAAATCCTCTGAAATTGTCAAGCATTCAAGGCCACTCCTGTCGTAACAGCTGAAATACCTGACCTGACATTACACCATACTGTCTTGAATTCCTCTATATAGGCAAGGGAGGAGGACTGTGAGCATTGTACAATCCAGAGTCAGATTCATCGGATGTGTACACATACCTGGCAATAAAGCTGATTCTGATTCTGATAATAACAGCCTAAAATTCAGCAAAATGTCTATTATTTACAGTGGCATACAATTTTCCCTTGCTGGTTAAATGTGTAGCTTGTCCCTTTAATATAGAGCCAGGAGTTAGCTTATTAAAATAATCTGGAAGAAACTGCCTACCAATTGGGCTGTAATAATTATTTTGCAATGGCAGTATCACTAATGTTTCAGAGAATATTAGAATTCTGGCATGTTTCGTGTGAATATCCACATAATACTTGACATTGGCCTGTTTAAAGCACATATAGCCTAAAGCTATAAGTAAATGTCAGGGTTAAAGCTGTATAACATTGAGACTAATTGACCAACAAGCTCCAAGGTTCAGCACCATGGAGAGAGCTTCACATATTCTCTGCCCAA